CACCTGTGGCGATAGGGATCCGCGAAAAGATTATGGGTCTCGTTCAAGCAATGTGACCATACCCAGCCTATTCACCAGAGCAGCCTCTCATACCACCTGCTTTGGTGCTTACTGTATTCCCTACGCACCAAGAATTTTGATAATCAACTCCACAATGAGGTCCGCCTTTTTTTCCAACTCAGCCACCGTGGTTCCAAAAGAGTGGAACTGAGAGACTGGTGGTGCCATTTAGTGAAGGAGAATTTCATCTAAAATTTTGATCAAAATGTTGCAGGACTCTCTTTTTTATGATAGAGTCACTCGGTAAGACCCTCATCAAGTGTGAACGAAGTTCCTGCTATTGCGAAGTTTCATGGGAGTTTGCACGTTTGTACAGGAAGCATCGGTAGTGATCTATGGAAACCAGCAAAATGCCCCCTAGTGAAGCAGCTGTGCTCCAGGAAAAATTTACTTGACTGTCTCCGCCCACACGGCCAGCGTGGACTGAGCTACGAATGGAAGTTGGGAGAATGACGATTAATCACGGACTCATACTTAACATTTCTACTGATACAAAACCTTTGAAAAAAAGTCTGAGCCTATTCTCCAGTTCTTCGTCTGATTCTTCTCCATTCAGGGTATGGCATGGGACGCTGCAGCCACGATCATCAACAAAAACGTTCGATCTGGTCGATTCATGGTCCCCAAAAAGGTCAGTATGATCTTACACTAACAAAAAGATGTCGGGTTTTGTAGCCTAAACGATACCCTTCACCCCTTTCCATGGAGAATCGTTACCGTACAACATTCCCCGGTCAAGCGTTGTGCGCGCGCTTACACTCCACATTCCAGTGATGAGTGGGCGTGGTTACGTACTTTACTTGAACATGGCGTAGGAGGCGTTATTTGTGGGATATCCATCTGGAACAGGTGTTATACTATACTGTACTAGGTAAAGCTGAGCTTGCAACTGTCCCGAAACTGCAATATCCCCCCAAAGCAGCTGCCGCCGCGTTTGAATGAAGAACACTGCCACGGAGCCCCCATCTCTGGGATATATGTAGTGTACGCACTTCCTTGTCTCTAAATGGAAATGTCTAGGCTGAAGCTGTCCCTTTTGCTCTGAGCCCAGCTTTGTGGTATCAAAAAAGGCCAACGGTAACTTTCCTATTACATTTTTTTCCTTTTCACTGGGTTTTGTAAAACGACACCGCATAGTTCAGTAAATTAGTAACGTGTTAGCACTCATTTTCAGTTGATGGAAGCACGGAAACGAACCATCAGTGACGTCACGGACTACGAAGTTATCGCCATTTTCCAGGAAGCCTGGTGTGGACCATGGGTAGGTTTCGAGAATAAAGGATATGGAATAGAGGACTGGTCATTCCCGGGATGCGTCTGCGCATTCTCAGAGTTATTAAGGCATTTTGTATACGACGTGAGCCACAACCACTTGAGGGGAGGGGGGTGTTCGGGGGGATAGGGGAGAGGTGCTGTCGAGAATGAAACTGATACCACTTGTCAGCCTATGCGGTTTTCACCAAGAGAGGATCCTTGGAGCTACGGGCACGATGAGCAGAGCCATAGTCTTGTTCGCCAAGGATGTTGGGGCGCTTCATAGCGAGCTGAAATTCATGCAAGCTCCAGGCTTTAATCCCAATGCTGAGAACCAGTTTGCCTGGAGAGCTGGCTCGCGCCGGAGCGGACATCCTATTTTCTCAGGCCAAATGAACAAAATCAGGACGCCCTTTTCACCCCCCACCTCCCCATAAGGATTTAGTGGACCATGGACTTCAATGGCGCATCTTATAATTGCCTCCGTGGAGTTGAGTTTTGACTTTATATTCACTGCATTTCAGGAGAACAATACGGTAGACGAAATCTGTGAGTCGATGTGCCCGCTCTACCACGGTGGCGCGGAAGCGGTACGTATTCCGACTGTATTTACGCTCGTTTTGAGGCACAGCCCACGGTAACTGTTGGGCGGAGAAATGGGCGGCGCTCACGACAGCGCTTTCCTCGTGGGCGCGCTCTTTCTCGTGGTACGGAGAAGACGAAATGCTCGCAAACCTCGCCTATTTCCCCGTCTATCACCCATCGTGGAATGTCCTTCAAAACTGGCCCTGGCAGAACCCGTCTGTTGGGGAAAAAATGGTGTAAGGGAAAATACGGCTAGCAAAGACTTTCCAAATATTACTGTCCAACAATGCCAGAAGTACGATAGAATGAGAACATCGCCAACTAAGTAACCGCTGAGCAAGTTACACTCCATATCACGGAGATGAGGGCGGGCCAACTTTTCATTTGTGGCAGCGGCCGCGCTTTTGGAGGATACTCCCGTTTCGGGGCCATTGTCTCCATTACCTTGTCCAGCACAGGAGAGCAGAGGAGCAGCTCAATTGAAAGAACCCGACGGAAAATGCAAACCGCTCCCAGTCTAGATGACGTAAGCAGACACTCCCACGCCATCTCCGGGATATAGATGTAGCTGCCAAAGCTTGTTCAGAACATATAGTTGCCGCTTTTCACTTTTTTGGAACCTTTCTATGATATTGGGGACCCGCTCAAGCGCCTTTTGTCGGCTTCCTCCTTAAAGGCAGTTGGCACGATGATTTGGTGCTTGGCCTGAAATGGTAGTAGGGCGCTATA